AATACGTTTCCTCGAGGTCTGAAAAGTAAGCTTCCGTGGCAGCGATTACCTCCTCATTCGACTCAAATTTCTGCCCGGCGAGTGACTTTTTCCAGTTTGGAAACAAAAAAAAGTCGCACGGGGCTAAATCTGGAGAATACGGTGGATGGGGCAGCAGTTCGTAACCTAATTCGACCAATTTGGCCATGGCGACGGCGGAGGTGTGAGTCGCTGCGTTGTCATGGTGGAAGAGCACTTTTTTCTTCACCAAATGGGGCCGTTTTTTCTGTAATTCGACGTCGAATCGGCCCAATAATTCGGCATAGTATAGCCCTATGACCGTTTTGCCCCTCTCCAGGTAGTAGATGTAGATCACACCTTGTGAATCCCAGAAAACGGTGGCCATTACCTTTCTAGCCGATGGGGCAGTCTTCGCCTTCTTCGGAGCACTTTCGCCGGGTAAAGTCCATTGTTTCGACTGTTCCTTGGTCTCTGGTGTATACCAGTGAATCCTTGTTTCGTCGACTGTCACGAAACGACGCAGAAACTCCTTCGGATTGTGCTTAAACAGCGTCAGACATTGCTCTGAAGTTGTCTCACGGTTGCGCTTGTTGTCCGGAACGAGCTAACGCGGCACCCATCGCGCCGATAGCTTTCTCATGTCCAAAATTTCATGCAGGACATGACCTAAGCGGTCTTTTGAGATGCCTACGATCTTAGCTATCTCGCGCACCTTCAATCGTCGATCTGCCACTACGAGATCGTGAATTTTTGTCACGTTATCCTCCGTGGTAGCCGTTTTCGGAGCACCTGGACGTGGCTCTTCAAAAATCGACGTGCGATCACGTTGAAACTCGTTAAACCAATTTTTGACGGTCGCCATCAAAGGAGAAGAGTCACCGTACACAGCATCCAAGCGCTTTTTGATTTCGCTGCGCGATTTCCCTTCCAAAAACAAGAATCGAATCACCGACCGATACTGCTCTTTTTCCATTTTTCAAAAATCAACGGACACACTTGCTTTCACACGCTCTCAAAAATAAGCTACAACTCCGATCCGGGTGAAATCTTGACAGTAACCATCGAGAAGGTTGTACTACGTGATAGAATATTTCTTTTGAGAGAGTGGCGCCATCGAGCAGTGAGGCTAAGTACTTATCGGACCACCCTCGTAATTGCCTTTTGGTTCTTATCGTAATAGTGTTCCTGATATATTGAACGTTTATGTAAAACTATAACCACTTGAAAATAAGAAATTTATTTTATAAAATTTATAAAAGTACTTTCTTTCTTCAATAAATATCTAGGGATAGCGACGAATTCTAGACTCAAATAGGAATTTTACGTAGATTATATAATAAAAAACCAAGATAAATGATTTTTTAATTTTGAAATTACCAATATACTACGAGGGTCGTTTTAAAAGTCCGTGCAAAGTCAGAGAGATGGCGCTACTAGTGGGTATCAAGGTTATTTTTAGTTAGTGGCATATCTTGGAAGAGCACACACCAAGTTTCAGCCAGATCGGCCAATTACTTTGCGTTTTACATTCGTTTCAATCAAAGAAATCGAGTGGTTGTAAAAAAATGTACGAAAAAGAATTTCGTGTATTGATTAAACATTACTTCTTCAAAGGCAAAACGCCTTAGGAGATTAAACAGAAGCTTCATAAACATTATGGTGATTGTGCACCTTTGATTAGAATGGTTTATAAGTGGTTTCAAAATTTTCGGAGTGGCCATATGAGCACAAAAGACGCTGAACGTTCTGGACGCCCTGTTGAGGTTACCACTTCAGAAATCATTGATAAAATCCATGATATGGTGATGGCTGACAGAAGAATGAAGGTGCGTGAGATTGCTAGTACTGTAGGCATCTCGAGCGAACGGGTACATAATACGTATTTTGCACTAACATTTAGACATGAAAAAGCTATCCACTAGATGGGTGCCGCGATTGCTCACGATTGACCAAAAATGAGATCATGTGAAGTGTTGCAAGAATGGTTTGCAGCTGTTCCATCAAAATCCGCAAGACTTTAAGCGTCGTTTCATCACTGTAGATGAAACATAGATACATCACTATTCTCCTGAGACCAAAGAACAGTTTAAACAATGGGTTACCAAGGGGGAATCTGCTCTGAAAAAGGCGAAGACAATTCCTTCGGCCGGGAAGGTTATGGCGACTGTCCTTTTGGGATTCGCAAGGAATAATCTTCATCGACTATCTGGAAAAGGGTAAAACCATTAGAGGCGAATACTATTCATCGTTATTGGATCGTTTGAAAATCGAGAGAAAAACGTTTTGCTAGAGAAACGTCCACGATTGGCCCACAAAAATGTCCTCTTCCACCACGACAATACGCCAGCTCACGCCTCAGCAGTTATGGCCGCAAAACTGATGGAGATAGGGTTCCAACTCGTTTCACATCCCCCCTATTCTCCAGACTTGGCTGTGTCGGAGTACTATTTTTCCCTAATATGAAAAAATGGCTGGTGGGGAAAAGATTTTATTCAAACGAGGAGGTGATTGCAGAAACGAATGCCTATTTTACAGACTTGGACAAATCCTATTATTTGGAAGGGATTAACAAACTAGAGCAGCGTTGGATAAAGTGTATAAGCCTAAAAGGAGACTACGTTGAAAAATAAAAAAGATTTATTAAAAAAAATCAAGCAGTTTTTATTTTTGCACGCACTTTTCAAACGACTCTCATATACGTTGGTCTAGAGTATTGCCACTTATGGAATATTATTGCATATAGATAAGTCTATTTAAATATACTTAGTGGTATTAAAAAAATGCGAAATAAGTTAATTAAAATTCTACTTAAAAAATCTAAGGATTTTCTATTATCATTATCTATTAAGAAACATTTTTTTATGAAGAGAGTATAACGAACGGCATGTAAGTTCGTTATGTCTCTCTCTCCCCAGGAAGCCATCAAATAATAATTATCTATAATAATTAATTATCATGTAAACATGTTTAAATAATTGCAGCGTGGACGTCAGCGAACCGGTAAGTGACGCGATTATAGTTCGATTATCGATATCGACTCGCGGCGCGAACCTCGCGGAGAGGCGAGCCCTTCGAGGAGAGAGAGAGACTAGGGACAAAAAAGTAAGTCTGCTTCCGACCGGCAACGAGCAAGTAACCGGCAACGCGAGCTCGCTAATTACTCGAGAGAGCAATCAGGTTTGATAGCCACACACGTGACAACCATCGACGCTGTTCCCGAAAAGCCCAGCGAACACTCGGTGATAGAAGCAGAGAGAAAAAGCGTAAACGCAAGAAGCGATAACGCGATTAACAAATCCTTTGCAAGCGAGCGCGCCGAGAACTACTTGCGAATCTACTGTAGAGCGACTCGTCAGTTCCAGCATTGTAAGTACCAGTCTGTTAACTTGGCTTCTCTCTCTATGGCTCCCTCCTGCGTTGCTTAAACTGCGTATCCTTATTGATACTTTACCGCATAGTTGATTATTTCTTTTCTGTTTTCGCTCGGCCTACGAATAGGCTTCCGTTACACGCGTACTGTCGCTTCCTCGTTCGAACGGTGCGCGCCAGTTAGCCGTCGCCATTGTGCCTAACCGCTCTTACAGGGCGTGCGCGAGCAAGTTCCTCGCTGCGTAGCGTGTGCGCAGCCTGTCGGCTGCACTGAAATCTGACGCGAGGCTATCCACGCTGCTATTTGTACTGCGCGCGAACTACGCTATTCTATGCTTGTGTTGTGAATAAATGAATTCAATTCACTCCTTTGCTATGTGTCATTTTCCCTCGATTCCTAGTCGTATATGCGATTATACGCTTTAGCTTCTCCTTGGCTGTCGCGCCTTGTCATACGAAAGCTTACGACACTCTCCGCGGGCCAAGTTTTCGACTCGAGAAGGAGGCAACTGAGCTGCTGGACCCAGGACGTTCGGTGCAGGAGTGCCGATCTGCTCTGGAGAGCCATTCATCTACTTTTCCGCGGTTACTTTTATATAGCGTGTCCCGCTCGAGCGAAGCTGAGCAGGAACCCCGTTATAAGAGTTTTAGAGAATTATACCTGCTTGTCTACTAGATTCATAACTTTAAATAGTACAACCAAGAAGCACAGTTATGCATGATGGAAGTAAAACAATTATATTAAAAAGTCATCAATCTGCTGTAACTAAAACATTCTAAAAATTCAACAAGAAAATTAAATCTCACATAGAAAAACACTAAAAACGAAAGTTTCAAAAATATTGTTAAAAATAGATACAAGGGAATAATAATACTCTAGTGGAGAATGGTATTTTTAATAAGAAAGAGTTACTACAAGATTAATTTTAATAGTAACTACAAATTTTAGTTATGAGTTTTAGTTTAAATTATATTTATTATGCCAGACTGCTTAGGGGTATCTGCGTGCATCTCTGTAAATAGTTGTAGGTTATTAAAACGTTTAACCTATTAATGGAAAATAATCATAAACATAATAATAATTTTAATCGCATTATTATTTACTCGTGCAGATTTCATACTCTTTATATAAATAGTTATAGCTTTTGACTGGAAGCGAATTTTTCGACATGCGACTCCTCATTTTTAAGGAAGAAAGGACAAATTTACTTAGAAGGCTTATACGAGAAAATGCCGAGATATGTGTCTTTTTGATATAGAATAATCTCAAAATATTTCATTATAATTAGTTTTCCACAATTTTGATACTTTCCTTATAAGTTTATTAATGATGAATAATAAAAAATATTAATGTCAAATATACGAAGTTATACATAGTAGTCCATCAGTAATTATAACGTGGCACATTTTAGTTCTAACTTAATATGACGCACACTATGAATTGACTTTACATGTTAGATTTGGTTGGATAATGTTTACATTTAAAAAAAATAAATGAATTTATTTTGGAGAAATATATTCAAATATATTCATATATAATATTGGAATTCATCATTGATCAATCTTAATGATTTATTGTGAAAACTGTGTGCTTCAATATCAAAATTTTATAACAACCAAAACATACTTACTAATTTATATCCATCAGATTTTTTCAGATATCCATAACATTCTTAAACTTCGCTAACGTTTTTCTTAGATCTGAAACCATCTTGACGATGTTGAAAGTTGTTTATCCATCTATCATGAGATCTTTATCAAATTTTCCAACATAGTCCGTAATTGGGTTTAATAAGCGATGATTGTAGTGGCTCTAAAAAAAAATTATAAAAAATTTGTTCATAAAACGATGAGAAAGCTTACTAACGTATCTTTGTCGGAAATCGCAAATATTTTGTTCTATCTTTGCTACGCAATTACAAATAAAAGTTACGATCCGGAAGCTAGCTGCAGAATTTCTCAAGATATTTTCTAGATCAAAAATTTGAGTATATAACAGTTCTTGCTCTAACTAAATTCCGCTGATACAATATGAAACTCGCCTATCGGTAAGGATGAGCAAATCTCTAATCTTCAACTCACATAAAAATTCAAAATATTTTATAATCGTGTGGACCAAATTGAAGTTTAGATATTTTATACTGGTATTTAGTTGATTAAGGAACATTAACTAGCTTTGTGACGATAATTCATACATCAACTAACTAAGGAATAGGTGACGAACTGAAAATTGTTTCTAAGTCCGGTTGGTTGACAATAAAAAATTTCAATAAAATGCTGTCTACAAACCATATATTTTATTACTGGAAATGTTCAAAACGGTTGAAAAAGCATGTTGAAAAATTACATTTTTTTATTGTCATGAGTTGGGAAATCTTTGCTATTTAATTCACTCCGTAGTAGAGATAATTGTGAGGATAGGAATAAAATAAGCTAGACAGATATCAGAAAAAGTAGATATATTACTGCTACTGCTATAGCAATGGAATGAGAAAAAGAAAGTGCTCACAATTTACTTATAGCTAGTGGCTACGTGTCAAGTAGAGTTAATTAAATTTGTCGCATGGTTTGCTCTTGTTCGAGTAGTGACACCAAAAAATATTCGTGAGTCTCAGAGCAAAATAAGATTGACCGTCCGGGTTGATACTCGTAGTTCAATAGCGATTAGAATCCGAATTGGTTCTAAAGTTTAGTTTTAACTTTGCTAGTCCCGTTGCCCGATGTGCGTTGCACTCTATGGTCTAATAGTTTCGTCAAACGCTTATGGCGAAGGATTTCGGGAGATTTAAGCCACGAACGTGAAACACCTCCGCCACAATGCCTGGTGACTCGTTTTCCCCACTATGTGATAAGGGCACCAGACCGCTGTTCCTTGGTTACAGCGATCGTCCGGAATAGAGTCAGAAATCGGCTCGTAGGTCTGGTTGTCCGCTGTGTGACTGTGCAGAGCGAACAAGGGACTGGTCTGTCGCCGTTAACTTTTTCAAGCCGCTCCAATGATCAATGGTCGTTCCCTGTCCTCTCAATATCCTGAGAATGCTAGCAGCTCAGAAAGTAACTTCTCGTCTCCGGTTGAGGGTTCCATAGAATTAACGCGTACAGTTACCTAACGTTCAGAATTATTCAAAGAAATCCTCGCTACAAACCGTCCGCAGCTGAAAATAAAATCAGCGTGCAAGGAGGGATAAGTCAGCGAGACATAAGTAACGGATATCAGTTATAGTTCACTTTCCTTTTATGTTAGAATACATGTCGGTCGAAATGGCGGATGGTCAGCGCGGTTCACTACGACAGTTGATGCGCGGCGGCAACAGATCCAAACATCCCGGCAATCACCTCTTTGAAGAATTACGCGCACGGTCACCTAACTCTCGATGGCGAGCAGAACTTCACCGAGCTATCTAAATCTTAAATCCTCTTACGCTAGAATTAGTCGGAAAATAGCGGTTAGTCAGCGCGATTCAGTCGGAATTATTTCATTCACACGGTGACAGATCCATACTCGTACATCACAGCGGAATCAATAACGCTCGGCAACCTAATTTTCACTAAATAAGCGGCACTTTATCTACTTACTTCTTACAAGACTGGTGAGTTACTCTCACTTCAAATCGCTCGGTTTTCTAGCTCGTAGAAACGATCTGCATGTAACTAAGTTCACTGCCAGTGTCAAAACGGGAATATTCCCGTCATTGGTCAAAATGCAAATTAGAAAAGTAGCAGGGCCCTCATTTTATCTCCTACCTCATCGCTATTTACCTTCTCTCACCCCCCCCCCCCCCATTAAGTCGTTCAGCATTGGTTGATGAGAAAGATCTACCCCTACTCCTATTTAGTTTTTAATGTGGGCAGAAATCAAATTTTATTCTAATTCGCCTATTGGTCGTGACGTCAGCGGCGAGTTTCGTCAAAAGTTCAAATTTCATCAGTTTGTCGCTTATGAGTACGCCTATGGAATTGTAGCGGTTGCGTAGATGTATTTCCAATTTTCCCTTTGTACGTCACACATAATAAATCACATCCTTATTATCGCTAGGTATTTTGCAATACACGTTTCATTTTGCTAATTTACGTAATAGTCATAGGTCAATTTTCATTTTCGTAGCTTCTTCATCATCGAGTTTGTGTTCGAATTAGTATTTAAATCCTAATTCGCTTTCTATCATATGGTCTGTCTTGCTCGCTCCTGCTCAGTCCGTCTCACTCGCTCCTGCTCAGTTTGTCTCGTTCGCTCTCGCTTAATCTGTTTCAGTGCCTCAAAATGGCTGCTTTCGCTTCCGCGTGTGAACATAGTGCTTTGCTGCCAGTCTTTGGAATGTCTCCTGGAGTGCTCTACATCGGTCGTGTGTCGCGTATGTACATTCGGATCTTCGCCAGTGGTTAGCATCAGTGTGTACGGCGCTCAGGATGTCGTCGATGGTGCGCAGCAGCCTGGTACAGCTGATTACCGGCTGCCGCTTCATCTACGATTTCCTGGTCGCCCCAAATGTGTGACAACTTCCCCAGAGTATCTGTAATTGTATCCGAGTGTGTAATGCATCCGTGGATTCCGTTCACATGCATATTTGTTGCGTTTTTCCGTGTGCTTTCCTCCAGCCGGCAACACGTGGTCGGAAATGTGTATATGCGTGCGCTTTCTTTTTTTCATTGTGCGCTCCATTTTTCTCTCATTCATCGGATCACGCTGTTTTACTTGTTGCATCATTTTTCCAGGCGTGGGTGGACGAATTTGAAAATAAAATACGGTTTCTGTTAGGGCGCGAGTAGGGCAATGTTATTCGGCTGGTTACGGAACGGCAAGGGACGGGGATGGCTTCTCTAAGGTGTTGCAAGTAGTACAATACTCTCAGGCAAAGCCTTGTAATACACCGCATTACAAGCTTACCCAATGCCTCGATACGTGATTTGTAATTCAGCATGAATAGTTTCAGCACTGTCTTGTGTTAAGTATTCGTCTCGGTGGGAGAGAGGAAGTGGTATCACTACCACGACGTATAAGAAGTGTTTGCTATCGCAATGCGCTGATACTGTCACATATTTCGTGAAAATTTTACCCGTGACAAAGTACTTTTTAAAAGTTTTTTAAAGTTCTATGCTATAAAATTTTTACACAAAAATTATTATGCGAAAAATCTTGAAAGAAGCTTCATTCACTATTAACTGTCTTTCTATCAACAGACTATAAGCTTATACGATATTGTTTTCGAGTAGTTGATTTATAAAACCAGAAGTTAAAAATTTAAAAGAAATGCAACCCTTGCTTGAACATTTACGGGTGGATTTCATAAGACCTACTTCGTTAGCTTTTTGGTTTAATCTAGTATAAGCCTCATAGAGTTTCTGTGATAGTGATATTGATTTCTTATCACTAAATGTATACCACTTTTCTAATTATACAACTTTTGAAAATTCAGCTTCTAAATCATCTCTTAATGAAAAAAATGTTGTTCTATCAAACCTGTAGATACATTTTTTATGGATGGATAGCAAAAACCAAAAATGTCACAATTTTATTTTCTTCACTTGCAATGCATAGTAAATTTAGTATTAATGAAATAAATCCGTTTGTTGTTTTAATTATATATTTGTACTCAGTGAAAATTTCTGAATATCTTATAGTTCGACCAAATGTATTGCTTAATATCACTTTTACCATAGAAAGGTGCTGAAAAAAGCCTGTAACCATTTATCAAAATTCACACTTTAAAGTAGTTTCTTCTGATTATCTGGTGGTAAGCAGTTATACAAATAATCTCTAAATAAACATTGCAAATGTCACCTGAATGTCTATGTTTGTACACTAACTTGCATATTGTATGGTAATTTTTACCATACTATTGAAATAGTATTTAAATACAATGCAGGATTCCCAGTAAAAATAGTCAGTAGTTTATTTCTGATTTACCAAGATCGTCTAAAATTCACATTAACTTCAAAATTATCATATGCAAAACTTAGCGAGGAAGCTACACGTTGCATTGCACAATTAAAACTCGTACGTAGATAGTAAATTATATTCGAAATCTTAAGCGAAATAGTACATAAGAGACTTTTAGAAAATGGTACTAAAATGGAAACAACATTTAAAGAGAATGGTAAATTACAAGCATTGAAAATAGAATACTATTTACTAAAACAGTTGTAAAAAGATACAAAAGAAAAAGAATGAATTACTAAATCAATTATTGATGAGTCTGATTACTGGATGAGTCATGATTTTTTATGGAAACGCTAAATGCCTGGTGCACGATCTCGGGGATGGTGCCTTGTTGACCTGGGGGGTCACCCTGGCACCTGGATATCGTCTTCAAGGAATTCTAGAAATTTCTCCCCCACGTTGTTGCACACTAGGTGCTCATCCTCGTAGACGGTGTCCAATTAACCCAGAGCTCTTTCTGGCACCTGGGCATAGTCTCCTGGGTGAGTCATGATTTTTTGTCGGAAACGATATATGCCTGCATCTTATCGGGGATGGTGTATCGTCGACCTGGAAAGTAACCCTGACACCATGGACGTGTCGTTTTAAGCGTTTCGTCCGAGCCTATTATATTTGTGATAGCTTTTTTAGACGCCTTTTCCCAAATTTTTCTGTCAGACTGGACTCATCAGTAAGGATCTCATCAGTCATAAAGTTATGCAAAAATTACCCGCCGTTTCAATATTTCAGTATGATGCTGTATGTTTCCAGCGCTGTATATTTCTGTGTACTGCTGCCATGTTTCCAACGCTGTCTATTTTATTCTGTTGCCGTGTTTCCAGCGCTGCATATTTTTGTGCTGTACTGCCGTGGTTCCAGCGCTGTACACTTTTGTG